TTTCTAAGCTTTTTGAAGCCTCGTTAACACTAATTATTTTGGGCTCAATACTGTCATCGGCTTCTTCGCTATTGCTAAATCTGACTGTTTTCTATATAATAGTTCTTCATTGTCAGGAACTACATAAACTTCGTCTTCTTCCGGGTTACTCAAAAATTCTTCAATTGACAGTATCAGGAAGGTTGAGAGATGTAAGTATCAGAGAGAGCTCTCCTAGCGTTGGCGTATTGGTTGTATCAGAGAGTCGGTGGCGGTAGTTGTAGTTGGAAGAATTTTCGTATGATTCCAACAGTTGCGGATTGTTTCTGGTGTAAACTTTTTATGTCGTTTCCTTCTTTATTTAGTCTTTGTCTATTATCGGGGCACAGTAATCTCTTTATTTGGTCTTTGTCTATAATCGGGGCACAGTAATTTCTTTATTTGGTTTTTGTTTATAACCAGCGGGTGTGTAATTTCTTAATGTAACACTATCGATATCACGTGAAGTCACGGATTCGAAAAGACCGTGCAGTGTAGAATATGGAGTGTGTGCATTTACGTCTAATTCCCAAGCTCGGGAATGAGAAGTAGCGTGCATTTATAGAGGGTGTGCATTTATGGAGGGTTCACTGTACTTGAAAATTTGAAATAGAGGTATGTAAGGACGTAATTGATTTTTGCAAGTGATTCTCCTTTGTTGTTTCTAGCATCGAACAACATTTATGAAACAAAGACAAAATTTTACATGATATCAAAAGTATCTATTTGCGTCGTCATCCCAGGTTGGTTACGCGTCTCGGCGATATGGTTACGACAACGACACGATTAAACAAAAATTTCCAGAGAAATTAGTCCCGAGATTCATGTACATGGGGGGCAGGTATGCCAAAAACCTATTGAAGATGCTCTAGTAAAATTGTTGTGACAATGCCACCATGTAATCATCAAAACCTCCCGTATCACATCGGGCAAGTTAGCCATGACTCCCGTAATGGGATCTCGATGGACGTGATGTTAGAGAGATTGATATAAACTATAAGTTTCTTAAAGATGGTTATCGTCTCCGCGAGATTAGATCGGATAAACAAGTTTGCAGCTTGGGAATCATTCTAGCTATTGGACGTCTTCGCTTTCGTCAGCTTTCGTGTTGTTGTGTAATAGAATTGAACAAAATATGTTAGTGAATTATTATTGTTGTTTGTTTTGGATTGTTGACCAGTATCTGCGCCTATGATTTTCTTCTCTTCTTCGCAAGACCATAATCCAATGCCCCACTGATCGGGAACAAAATCACATGGACACAGCTTTTCATTTTTATTAATAAGATGAGCCAACCTTGAGTGATTCATACGATACCGAGTCATATCGTTATTCAATTCTAAAAACAAATTTGCGTTTGATGAAATGGGAAGAAAATGTCGATAAACCAGACTCTTTCGCTATCCAAATCAATCCAGCCTGAAGTGACAACTGCAATTAAATACACAGAATGCCCATTATTAAATACTACACTTCTGGTCCTTGCCCCTCATGTGCCTGTCGCGTATCCAACCCGATCTACAGCAATAAAACACTCTGCTTCTCCTGCGGAATCTTGATATCCGAGAGGCCCAGTACCACATTCGGTGCAATATAAATACTGCAACCCAGTTACAACCGGTATCGAAAATGCAATAGTTTCAAATGCCATCATTGACAAATGCCAGTATTGCTGCATTGCCTCGACCTCTGCATTGGTGTCATCTGTCACCGATGTATCGTTGGAGGCTATGTTTAGCTAATTAAATTGAATAACGCAGATCAAAGAAAAAGTAAGATGACGAAAGGGGGGGATTCGTTGAATCTGATAACGACATGAAGCACAATAATATTGAATTACAAACGATCGCTGAACCTTTGATTTAGGTCGCTCAACCAACTGTCCAGCCTTTGCACGCATTATTAAAGAACAGCAGTATGGTTGTGGACAATATATGTCTACGGCATTGTGTTTATCTTCCACTACAAGCTGATTACCTGATTCTACAAATTGTTTATACGGAACGCTCGCATTTTTGGCCATGAAGTATTGTATCGAGCCTCCCAAAAAAGTATATCCTTTTTTGGCAAGGTTAGTTAGTGAAAGGGGAAATAGCTCGAACCTTAATATTAATACTTTAAACAAAAATTGCGTTTGCAGAACAACCAAACAAGAAGGCTTTAAACCCATGCGATAAATGCTTCCTGTTCTGCGTTTACACCAAACCCGATTACGAAAGCCCAATTTCAATAACAATAGAGAGGGAATGTGTTTAAGAATCCAGAGTATACATTCGCCAATATAGTCTTAAGTGGGTTGTGATATTTTATCAGTGTCAGGAATATTTTGTGTTTAAAAAAACTCGGCCCAAACAGAGTGTGGAGTATCAGTAACGCCCCGCGTATCGCGTAAATAGTTTACGTTCAATTTTAAATTCTTATACAAGCAACGCATTAAAGCATGGAGTTTGGTGTCGTTGTCCATCCCTCGCTAGCTGTGCTGCCACAACAAAACTTGGGAATAACGAAAAATGACAAAATTATTACTAAATTGAGGCTGGTGCTGCTTTATTCGGTAGTCATCAAGTCTGTCTTGAAAGTTTGTGCGCTGGTATCGTATAAGGAAAGAAATACCAGCTTGTTATTTTGCTTATATGAAGTTTTAACAGCTTTTGGTATATTCCAAATTTGAAGTATGCGACAACGTTACATCATCCTCCATGATAACTTACTGACGTTTACATCCAATATTTTTTCCCAGATGGTATTAAAATTCCTTATCTTCAGTAATGTGAAATGGCCAATTAGTTACTGAATTCAATAGATTATGCAACCATAAAGCTTTGATGAAGAAAAGAAACGGGAACATATCTTACATTAAAACAATAATGAATTTTACTTTCTTAAATACACTCCCCGAAAAATCTAAAATTTCAAACGTCCGTATTGCCGTTATTTACAAAACGAACAACAAAAAATTTTATATTGTTATGAAGCTAATTGACTGTAGTTTTTGAATAAAATACTGACAAATTTACACGACTTATAATAACAAAGCTGTAATTTGCTGAAGCGACAACACATATGTTACACTTACATTTTCATATGATTTACATATGTGTAACATATATACTGACAGTTCGACAGGTAATAGCTCCATTATAACAACTTGCTTAAATTTATGAGTATTTTATTCAAAAACTACAGTCAATTAGCTTCATAACAATATAAAATTTTTTTAGTAAATAACGGCAATACGGACGTTTGAAATTTTAGATTTTTCATATGTTTTACTATATGATCGACAAAAATTGCGGAGACTTTTGTCCAGTGAGTGTACAGTATAGTAAGCGCAATAGGAAATCAGAATGTGCCGGAAAAAAAGGAAATCCGAAAGCAATTCAAAAAGAGAGCTGGCTGATCACTACCGAAAAAATCATTGGTAAAAATCTGCGCTTTTTTCTTAGTTATCCTTTCATCGTTATTAGAGAAGGCCGTCTCACTATTTCTAAATGTTTTACGTAAACCATTAGTATTAGCAATATTTTGTAGGCATTGCGACAGAGCATAAAATATTTACTAGTAAGACAATAAACATGGATTGCTGCATTCATGGAGGTGACACTGTACTTCCCCTTCAGCGAAAGGACGGATAGAATTACATTGGTCGCACATAATGTCATTTGAATAAAATTAAGCCACTAACAGTGACAGAAGACTGTCATTATATTAGTATGCAAACTATCGACAACTTGATTCAATCTTTCTTACCAAATGGATATGGTCATAAACTTGAATGGATTCCTTGTTCAGATATACAGCCAACTCAAATTAACAACGTCTATTATTCTAGTAACTATTACTATGGCGAGCTAATGCTGTTATTCCTTATGTACTTGATTGCTACTAGTGAACCACCTTTTAGAGATAGGCAGTTCGATAGGGATTTAGTATGCGACATTATGGGCGGACTACGACCATCGATGCCTGATTTCGCACCAGAGGAATACAAGAAACTTGCCGAGCGGTGTTGTGATGCTGATCCTG